AGTATGGCGAGGAGCCCCTAGTAGCTTCTTGTTCCTAGTAGTATGGCGAGGAGCCCCTAGTAGCTTCTTGATCCTAGTTGTAAGGCCAGAGCTCCTAGTAGCTTCTTGTTCCTAGTAGTAAGGCCAGAAGCCCCTAGTAGCTTCTTGATCCTAGTTGTAAGGCCAGAAGCTCCTAGTAGCTTCTTGTTCCTAGTAGTAAGGCCAGGATCCCCTAGTAGCTTCTTGTTCCTAGTAGTAAGGCCAGGAGCCCCTAGTAGCTTCTTGCTCCTAGTCCTAGTAGTTTGGCCAGGAGCCCAGTAGCTTCTTGCTCCTAGTAGCGATGCCGATGCCCTTCCTCCTAGTAGCGTCGTTTCGTTACTAGTCTAAGACAAAGCGGCCAATTCAGGTTGATATGCAATAATGAGCATGTGGTTCCGGCTTGGAAGATGCGAAAGGAACACATAGATCCCAGACGGGAAGCGCTTTGACTTGCCATAGCAAGTCCAAATTGTGTGGCACGACCCAAATTAAATTTACATTATCTAACAGCAGCTAGCTAATCATACTTTCTTGTGCAAACATGGACACAACGTGGCTTGTATTTTGCAACAGAAGCTCAGCTTGCTTCAGCTTGCTTCTAAATCGAACACGTGCACCTATTCTAGATACTTCACAGCATCATACTGCACGTTGGAACGCTTTCTTTCCAGACCGAGATTGGGGAGTGCCGCAGAGAGCGATCTTAGTGATGTCCTGCCCGGGATTCCCGGTGCCAGCTAGTGATCTTACCCTCTCTTAAAAAGATCGGGTGAATGGTGCCCAGCGTGGGTGTCATCAGAAGAATCAGAACCACAGATGCCGTCGTCCCCATATTTCATATCATGAAGAAACGACAATTGCGCTTTGCGCTCTTGCATTTAGTCATGGGACGGTCATGACTTTGTTTCAGACTCGCTGCTCTTACCAGGTTGCCACACTTGCCTCAGCAAGATGTTGATGTAAAGACTCTGTCGAGATCCAAGAGTTTCTATATTGTTCGAAAAAGGACCGCTCCTGCAGAACTCAGTTTTGTAAACAAGTCAGACTTGTTGGACATTGCTCTTCTACCTGATCTGCGAAAACAGCACTGTCCTTTCCTCTGATGCACCCACTGTCTTTGGCGCCGCAAAGTCAGCAAAGAGGGAGGAAGCGAGGAGAAATCATTTGAGAGTGATATGCCCGCAGTGATGTCAGTTGTGGCACTCCCAAACAATCGAAGATTGCATGCGTAGAAAGACATCACCACCATCATTTTGAATGCGCTTCCTCTACTTTCGCTAAAAGTCTTAAGTTTGCTCAGCCATTCAAAAGCCTTCTTCTTGGCTCATACCAAGCAAGAGGTAGATGACCTGGGGGGTGATCAAAGACAGAATGGCTAAGGCCAAGATTGAACCAGCCTACAACAGTGTCCATGCCCCAGAATGGACAGTTATATATAGAAGTAGTTAGAAGTTATACTATAATTATCATAGACGTTGTATATACATATATGCATCTATACATGTATATATATATATATAAATAAATTACAAAGGAGTTAAGTAGTAGTGGTTGTATATAAGTAATTTGGTTTTCAGGTTCTTCAATATGCTGTGGTGTCAACAGTGGCGTTCACCTGAGTCGATGGGACTCGCAGGCATTAAGCTGCACACATGTCTTCGCAGAACAATCACAGCTTCTCCAAGAGACACAACACAAAACCATCGCTGGCTGGAGGCCATCGCTTCTCCCAAAGAACCCAAACTGTCAGAGATCCAGACACACCAGACACACCTTGTGGGCCCGTGAACTGGCCACCGGGCCAAATAAGCCGCACCATAGACAACCTGCGGTGCAGAAGGAGCTCCTAGTAAGAATGCTCCGTTCGTAGCGATGCCAGGAGCCCCTCATAGCGTCCCTCGCTCCTAGTAGTAAGGCCAGGAGCCCCTAGTAGCTCGTCAGACCTCTGCCAGATAATTGTGTTTGTGCACATGTCAGCCCCGCCGCGGCGCGCTCCTCGCATTGACAGTGTGGGTGTGGAGCTCAGACACTCTAGATCCCTTTGGATGTGCAATTTGTGCAACTTTTCAATGCCTCGCATGGTCCTTGCAATTGCCCAAATTGAGCGGCTGGTCTTTCTTTCCTTTGTCAATCAATGCCTCCAAAGGGATGGCCATAATTGAGACGCATGAGTGAAACATTAGGAGAAAGCCTACACACCCGCACAGCCACTGTTGATTGTTTCGTTGGGAGAATGCTGCGCAGGTGAAGAGCATTTGTTGGAGTATGAGGCATCACAAGGGCAAGCAGGGTTCGAAACGAACCCAAAGACTTGTGCGGCCCAAAGAAATGTCCGCTGTTCGATACTTTTTTTTCCTACCTATTTCGATCTGCAAACTATTTCCAACATGACGAGGTTTTGTTTTACCTTTCGCAGCGTGACAGGATGGAGAGAGCTGCTTGGCCTTCATAGAACCAGGACCAAGAGTGGTTCAATCACTAGGCTACATAAATGACGCAAGTTCGAGGGGTCGTGTGACTTGTGTAACTGGCAGTGCAAGCGTCTGGTGTTTGTGAAAGACAAGGAGCAAGAAGCTACTAGGAACAAGTGCCACGCTACTAGTAACAAGTGCCTTACTAGTAGTAACAAGAAGCTACTAGGAATAAGTGCCACGTTACTAGTAGCAAAGGGCGTCGCTACTAGGAACAAGAAGCTACTAGGGGCTCCTGGCCTTACAAGGAGAAACGTGTCGCCCAAGGTGCCGAAGGAGAAGATGCCTTGAGCAGGTTACCGTCCACCCGGTCCATTCGCTCTGTTCCGTTTTCCATAGCAAGCAGCTCGGCGCCGATACCGATACGACAGAATGAAGCTTTGCTCGACAAATTGGAGCGCAAACAGTGAGGATTCAGGATATAAAACAAAAGCACACTTGTTTTCAGTAACGAATGGTGTAATTAGCTTTTCTGTCAACTCGAACTTTCACAAGCTATACCGTGCTGTAGCACAATACCTTCATGGCTCAACTGACATTGTACACCACTGACCCACGCTGGATTTAGGTTCAGCCACTGTGGAAGCTCCTCGGGAGGCCGGTGGCTGATTTTTGAGTTTCAGATTATTGAAAGCGATTCAAACGGCCTCCAACGTACTAGCGATGGCCTCCAGCCTCATAGCGATGGCCTTCACCTAGTAGCTTCTAGATACTAAGAAGCTTCACTAGTAGCAATGGCCTCCAACCCAATAGCGATGGCGCCCACCTAGTAGCTTCCAGTCTACCTAGTAGCTTCTAGTTCCTAGGTAGGAAGCTTCAAAGACATACAAAAAGCTTCTTGTTACTAGTAGCCATGGCCTCCACCTAGTAGCTTCTAGTTACTAAGAAGCTTCAAAGACA